TACAGCTTAAAAAAAATAGAAGACAGCACTTCTGCCACTCTGTCATTAGCTACTAGAGGACAAAGTCATTCTATTTACGTTGTGTTCTCTTTAGAAAAAAAAAAAAGAATATATGCTTCTCTCAGTCATTATTTTATATTTATATATATATATATATTTGCATCTATGCTACCAGACTAGTAACCATAATAAAATAGGGGAGTACTTCTATTAAAATAAAAAAAATAAAAAAAATATCACTTGAACCTGTAGTGATTATAGCCTAGTAATGGATTTAGAATAAAAAAAGGCCAAAATTTTTGGGGGACTCTACAGGATCACATGGAACAAAGGGGAAAGGGGGGTCAAAATAAACAGTTTAAAAGCCACCATTGAAAATGAAAGTGGAATTACGACCTCCTATCCCTTACGGCCAAGGAAGGTGCCATCTTAGCCTCTATTTGGATTGCAGTTGCTATGGTTCTGCACATGTGATCAGCTAGGACATCAGCCATTTGAGGGCTTGAAAGATCGGTTGAGAGCTGAAATATGCCCATTGGTAACCTTGACAGTTGGGATTAAAAGTAACTGTTTTTGGAGACTTTAAATTGGTGGTTAAAGTTCTTCTCCAAGAGCAGGTTCACACCATTTTCCGGGCCAGATCTGGTCTGGATAATGGTGTGAACCTGCTCGCAGTTCCAGTGCATTCCAAACCAGACAAAATGAGACCTGCAGTATTTTTCTGGTCTGGAACAGACTGCGCTGGTGTGAACATAGGCCAGAAATAGCATAGGGATACATTAGGCTGCACTTGGGACCAGAAACAATCTGGTCTGGAGATGATCTGAATGTAGTGTGACCGTGCCCTAAGGCTCCATTCACACCAAAGCGTATTGTCACACGTCAATCAGCGCGGCAAAACACTCGACACCAGGAATCCCATTCAGTTCTATTGGCTCTGTTCATAAGTTGGGCGTTTGGTCACAAGCAGAAATAAGCCTGTTGCACAAAATACTATATGAGCTACTTTGGGGTAAATGCAGCATGTTTTCTCCCCATTGGCTCAATAGAAAACGCTTAAAAAATGCACGTTGCGATTATTTTTGTGCAGATCCAGCAGATTTTGCCCATGCCATAATCAGACATATAATGGCGGAATAGGTGTTGCTTAGGTGTGAATTCACCCCAACAGTTTCCCAAAAACCGCAACATTTCAAGTCATATTTCTGGTGGTAACTGTCACAGTTGTCAATGTGCAGATGTCAGAAATTTCCGCCTTCTAATGGCTGGTGTTATAGCTGGTCACATGTGCAGCACCATGTCAACTGCAGATTGAAATAGAGGCATAGGTGGCGCCATCTTCAGATGTAAAGGACTGGAGGGTTTAGTACCTATTTAAACCCAATCATTTCCATTGGTTCTGGATCAGCTTCGTGCAAAGTTTTTGGGGCCCACAGTCATGGCTGTCTTCAACTGTACGAGAGTTATGCTTATGCATATAAGGAAGTCTGTCATTTCTCGGATCTTGTTCTTGTACTTGTTCTGTGTTATTGACTCTCAGTACTGAAAGCACTAAAACTAGAAGTCAGCTTAACAGCCAAGCAACTAATATTTTTAAAAGGAGATGCAACGGGAATTCCTGTATTTCGCTCATGACAGGTCTCAATTAAGCTTCCGAACTTGGCGATTCTGGGTAACAGCATGTGAAAGCACCCATGGTGAGACTTACAAATTCTGGGACTTACAAAGTGCTGCCAAACAGCAGAGACAGGTTGGTGACCTGACTTTTCTATATTGTAGTTAATATAATAACATTTGGTCACTTCCCTCAACTTGTGATTGGGCAGGGAAGCAGGGGAAGTGGCGTAACCCTGTGCTAACTCCCCCTGTCAGTATGTTGCTGGTCATCCCACGTGCATGCTGCACAGATTGACATGGCCCCCTAGCACTCCCTCTGCCAGTCTGATTGCTGCTGCAAAGGGGATTACAGCAGGCTGATCCCATTCAGGTACATTCACTGTATTTAAAACAAGATTTGATTATATTTAATTACATAGATGCGTTGATTAGGGTTTTTCTTAATCTCTGCCCAGAGATCCGCTTTAAGAGACTGTCCCCTTTGTGATGTTCACATCTATATGGATAATTCACAGCAACATGCCACCAAGATTAATTCATGGGCTCCATAAAAACTGAGGGCGATCGGTTTAATTCATTCATTTTGCAATCAAAAGCTGGTTGACTGAGCTGTTAATGCATTTTATTTCTGTCTAAACCCCACTATGCTATATTGCATTTATCAGCAGCACCAAAAAAGATGATGGGGTACAGGCCCCAACCGCAAAAAGGCAGGGAGCCAAGAGGTCACTTTTCCCCAATCTTTGACTTAGCGCCTTCCTTATTAAATTTTTTTTTAGTGCTCGGCTAGGAAACTGATTAATATCATGAGTTTACAGTGTCCCCACCATATCAGGTCATCCATATGGCCAGCAGGAACTTTGTTCCACCAGACTAGCTGGCATCTGAAGCATACATGCTGGGCCCAGAAGCGCTAAGAACAGAAGAACCTGTGTCCAACTCCATAAGTGCAGACCCTTCATTTACTTTATAATCCCACCACTGCATCCCTGCAATGAAAGGGTTACAAGAACAAGCTCTGGCCAACTCAAATTCCACTCCTGTCCCAATGCAGAGATTTTATTGTTTCTTTTGAATAAAGTAGCGGCCCCTCTTAAAAACTTGCACTAATGCAGCCATCCTTCAACAAAAATCATGTATGCTACTCTACAGTGATTTTCTACCTTTAAAAAGTATATATAAATCTAGATATAATATTAGAGAAAAAAGGCCAGGGCCTTTGATAACTTAAAAAAAAAAAAATATATATATATATATATATAAGGTGACATTTTGGATCAAGTGCTCCTTTCCTTAAATTTAAGGAGAACAGGTAATTGGGAGGGAGGGTAAAATGGGACAAGTAAAAAGTGCCTCGCGTGTAAGGGTGCTTTATATTAAGGCATTTTTTTTTAATTGCTGTATTACAGGAATCAGAAAGGGTTAACACTGCAGATGTTGCTGAGTGAAAATTACCATTGTACCCAATTATTTCTTGCAATGACTACTAGAATAGGAAACTTGGTTGCAACTTGTAACTGGGGTTTCTGTTCAACAAAATGTTTTCTGAAGGCTGTTGGTGTTCTCCATGGGTTCTGCTTAGTCCGGGGTGGAAAATTGAATATGGAACTCAGCAGCCAGTCTCTGCAATCCAGGAGTAAGCAGGATTTTGTTTTTTTTAGGAGCTAGCTCCAGTGACAACAACTAAAGAAAAAGGTCAAAAGTTAGGTGCCAGCTGTCAACTCTATGGTGCATTGGCTACCTGGCTCCTGGGATTTGTCCAAGCCTGGCTTAGTCCAAAAGCCGTGTAGCATGGCCCACTTTCAAATAATAAAATTGGTAGCTTAGGCAGAAAACGCTTCAACCAAAACAAACTGTTAATGATATTGTGCAATGGGCACTAACCAATTAGCACTATTCTGATTGGCTGCCGACTTCTCTGCATTCTATTGATCTGATATCAAGCTTTGTGCGACCACACAACTGTATAAAAGCTGCACTTAAAACCAAGACAGTCTTGCGCCAATCTCCTGTGGCCTGCCGGTTCTAGATATCAGCCCTACCGGCAGATATTCTGATGCAGTGTGTAGCACAACGAATGCTTACTAGAGAAGTACATACAGTATATGCATATATAAATGCACAATTGT